AAAACTCGCCATTCAGGTTACCGAAGCCATTCTTGTAGTCGGCCCAGCCGCGGTAGAAATCAACGGAGCCATCCAGTCTCTTCTGGAACACTGTCCACCGGCCACCGGCTGTTGTTTGGTCACAGAACACATCAAAGGCACCTGAACCATCAGGGTCGATTGTATAAACACCACTGGTTCTTTGACCGGATTTGTACAGCTCAGCACAGTCTTTCCTAACTGTTGACAAAAAAACATTGGAGATTGATTTATCATTCAGTTAAAAACGAGCAAACTTGCTTACTGACTTGGTTCATGACTGAAGTCTTAACCCGGGAACTGAAGCATTAAATTTTACAAATGAAAAACCTTTGTGATTGACAGATTTGCTAGTCATTGAGACCTCTGTATTTTTTTTAAAGGAAATTAAAACAAAAGAAATCACAGCGAGGTTGACTCCAGATTTTCTTTTATTTCCCTTAGCCTTGGTACCATGTCAGAATTTTAAAATCAAAATCTCTACTTACTTTTAGACTTGGTTTTGTTTTTCTTAAGAACGTCTTTTACTTCAGAGAGTTGTTTGTTCATTTCTAAAAGGAGAGCTTCAATGTTCTTGTTTTGTTCTGTGCAAAGAAATACAATCTAGTCAGAACAAATTGCACATTATACTATAGGACTGAATTTCCGATTTCCCATTGCAATCAATACAGAGGCGCAGGCCTGACGTAGTGATGGTCAGTGATGAGAGCGCTCGCTCCCCGCCAATGAAGTTTGGGTTGGAATCCCCGGTGCCCTGTGCCTTGAATTGGTTGTCGTTTCTTGATCTAGTTCCGAGAGTTTTCTCTGGGTTCTCCTGTTTTCCACTTTTCCACTGTTAAATTCCACGAAATCCGCGATCTGGCTAGTGCGGGAACGAATAGCCGCTCCGTGGATATGTCCGACTGCTAATTCTCAATTGCAGTTATATTCTACAATTACCTACAACAGGATCGGCAGATCTTAAGGCAATTTAAAGGAAATGCTCTCAAATGTTCTACCACACAAAAAAGGAAAATTAAAACTTTCAATAGGGATAAACAGATCTGTACCTACCATTTAATAACGTGGTGTTTCCTTTGAGGATGCTGATGTCATCTTGCACTTGATTAAGTTGTTTCATCATTTTTTGAAGGATGGCTGCCACCGTCTTGTTTGACTCTGTAGGTAATGAAGTTTATAATTTAAGCAAAGGGTATTTAATATGTGGGAAATCGACCATAAGTGAACGTTATTGTCCTACTGAAGTCGGTTAAGAAATTGCTCCACACGTTTCCCCACTGAGGAGAATTTCTCAAAACATCATCCGATCTGTACTTACCTTTCTCCGAAGTCTTGTTGCCTTTGAGGATGTTGATGTCATCTTCAACGTGAGTAAGTTGTGTCTTCATTTCTTGAAGAAAAGTTTCAATCTTCTTGTTTGGCCCTGCATAGAAGCTGTTGTAGACGTTGTTACAACGCTTTATGGCTGTAGAACTGACTGGGGTGCTGTTAGCGTTATTTCCTGGCTTAGCTAAAGATTGACCAGCCACAAACAACACCAAGAACAGCAAACTGTAACGAAAACCCGAGGAAACACAAGTCATTGTGCGAATTCAACGAAAGTCCAACTTAACCGTAGTTAACTGTGTTGCGGACTAGGGAAAAAAGCGCATGTGACTCACCTTTATTACAACAAGAGGTTTGCGTCACTGAATTCATTGTAAGACGTTTTTTCATGTTTTCCATGCTGGAGCTAATGGAAAATCGTTTGTGCAATATTTGACAGTTCCATAAAGATGATGATAGTTTCAACAAGCAAATAGCCTGTGAACAGGTTCCCAAAGTGGGCTAGGGCCGTGGCAAAAAAATGTAAAAGTACGTTTTAAATAACAAGAAAAAAAGCAAAAATAAAAAGCAAAGTAGGAAAAATTCGAGAGGCGAGCGAGCACTCCCGCAGACAAGAAGAGTGGGGATGAGGGCTGATAAACTTTATTACGCAGAGACAAGACGGCAAAGTTGAAGACGTTAAATAGTAGCTGACATTACTGGCTTTCAGCTAAACTTTGAAATGACTAGGTCACTACTTTACATATTAAGTTGGGTAAGCAAACATTTTGGAAATTTAGAGTCCTTTGTTTGCATGCAATTTTTTTTATCCGAATATTGTTCCTTTTTTTCCTGACGAGTTACAATTGGAATATTCAAGACTGTCCAGCAAAATTTTTCATTTGAAAGTGATTTTGAATAACGTGAATCACCAAATCGATATTTTTTTTCAGTTTCAGGCGTCCTGCCTACTGTTAATATTCAATTCCGTTCATCACTATCAAGTTCTATAAACAAGAGCATCTAGTATTTACCATGTCAACCCAATTACTGACAGAAAAAAAATTGAAATAATTACTAGAATAAGTTACAAGAACAAGGAGCCGGAGCACTAATTTCAACCGACCTAAAATGATCATAAAGGAAGAAAAAAGTTAGTAAATTAAAGACACTGGGTTTGCTAAAAATTGTCACTTTAGTAAAGCAGATTAATGAAGAGCATTTTGTTGCGACTGATGTGTTTAGTCAATGAGTCGTTTGTAATAATTGCAAAAAATTATTTCTGTACTAAACCCATAAGATTATGTCACCTTGATGGCGTTCTATAATTTACAACCGAAATTTTTGTTTTTTCTGAAAAGATTAGTTCATTTTGCGGGGATAAAGATGTAATAAAAAAAGACTAAACGAAAATAAATAAAAGATTTCAAAACGTAAACATCAAAGTGACAGTTTGGTAAGTCCGTCGCCTTTTCGTGTTCGGAATATTTAATCAAAACTACTGAGAATTAGCTAAATAAAATAAGCTTCGATTTAGTGGAAATTACCGTGATTTAAGCTACAGTGTCGAAGGCCAATCGATTCTTTCTGTCGATTCTGGGTATAAATTGAAGGAGAAAACGAGAATTAAAGCTTGAGTTTCATTTTACCTGCTCCTTGAGGAAATGATACAAAGAACACATCTGAAATGCTTTGGTAATCCCCATAAAACATTTCGTTTCCCATCGTCCTCTCTAATGTAAAAGTGAGTCAGCTGATCGGTTGAAAAAAAGTCAAATGAAAGCGGGCAAAGAAATGTTAACAAATTATCGAATAAATAATTCCAGGCGAACCTTGGTTATTTTTCTCCTTCACTGCCATTTTGTGTAGAGCTATTATTACTCTAAAAGGCGTTCAAAGAAGTCGTCATTAGGGCTGATGTAGATGTCAGAGTCACTTGAAGATGTGCATGACGCGAATTAAAATTAGAATAACCCATAACAGAGGGAATAGGCAATGAATGAATCACATTTTTCTTACTTTTCAGAAAACGCTGGATCAGTAAGGTGCGATGGGAAACAAAACATGGGGATGGCTTTTTCAGCCAATCTCATTGAACATACCTTACATCCAACGATTGGCGGGCAGTATTCCTGCATTCCGTCATTCATTTTAGTGGCTAGTTTCTGTAAATTAACTAACTGTATAATGTTTTGACATCATACACATTCACTAAAAGTACGCGTTTCAGAGGGTACGTCTCAGAGGGTACGTTTCCCCTCCGAAACGTGAAACGTTTCGGAGGGGAAGAGGGGAAGCGGGAGATTAAATGCCCAGTAAATGTGAGAGTCCCGTTGAGGCCCCAGCAGGAGTGGCAGGGGTGCACTCTCCCCCATATCCAAAAAATTCAGATTTAATTAAAGTTTAAACCTCTCGTCACTATCAACGAAAACGTTATGTAGTCAAGAGAGACGTCATGTGATCGTTCACAACCTCGGACCCAATCTCTTTC